TGCATTATTGTGTTTGTGGAGTTTGCATGTTCTCCCCGCGACGTTGTGGGATTACCTCCAGGTACTCCAGTTCCCCCCCCCACCCCAGTCCGAAAAACATACTTAGGCTAACTGACATTACCAGATTACCCGTAGGTGTGCGTGTGAGTGAATGGTGTGTGAGTGAATGGTGTGTGAGTGTGCCCTGCGATGGGTTGGTGCCCTGCTTTGAGTCCGTAGTCTCCAGGATGGGCTCCAGACCCCCCCCAACCCTGAATAGGATAAGCAGTTTCAGAACATAGATGGATGGATATTATGCATACAGATGAAAATAAGCCCTAATTGTTTTTACAATGAATGCAACCAGCAAAAAAAAACACAAGTAAAACAAAATGGTGAAAAGACCATTACTGGTTTGCATAGGGCATATGCACTGTCCATTTCCTGCACACAAAAGGTTATTAGTGCACCACTTATCATACAGCTACTGATCAATGCTATTAATCAGCTTCAAATAAGTATTAGCTGCACTATAACCTTTTCAAGGTAATGTAATCAGATAGTACATTAATGGAAGTCAGTTGTGATGAAGAATACTTTACAAAGGAGAGGGGATTTGTAAGTCTGATGAGTTTGACAGGGAACAAATTCGGACTGAATCATTCGGCCAATCAGGAGGGAAGGTGGTGGGGTTTAACTCCCTGCAGGCTGCTGAACAGGTGGCTTTAGCATCCTGTCAGGTGACTAGCAAACAGCGAAAATGAGCCCGCGGGCTTCCCCACGTGACACACAGGCAACCTGCATCCCAGGGCTCAGGACATTCACAGAGGCGTAAAACTGGAGAATGAGTCGCCCGCTGTTTGGTGGGAGGGGGACAGCAGCGTACCACAGGCATCTATGAACGTCTGGTGCAGCTTGAAGGTAACCAGAGGCTCTTTAAGTTTCCTCAGGAAGTCCTTGAGGAGGCCGCAGACTGCATGGATCTCGTCCACCTTACTGAGCGCGAGCGGTCCTTTCCCAAGGAGGTACTTCTCTCTCAGCTCCTTCACCAGGCGCTCACCTCCAGGCACGCGGTAAATTCCCCTCTGTACCAAACAGTAAGACAGGGGGACATGCTGGGGGCAGGAGGCTGCAGTGGTTAATGCAGCCCTTCTTTAAGAAGGTCAAGTTGAGGTTTCATCTAGGTCACCTTAGGTTTCATGCCAAAATATAAGCCATTACCTCTTCCAGTCCTCGCTTTTCTATTTCGTTGACACACTGCACTATTAGTTGTGGAATCCGAGGATGGGTGGGAGGAGCAAAACTCTCCAAGACATCCTGCAGGTGACATGAGATGAACCAGAGAAGTGCTTTGGGGAAGGCCAAGTGAAAAGAAGGTTCGTCCTACACACCTCAGGGGATTTCTGGATGGGTCCTGGGACTGTGAGGGAGCAGGCTTCGGGACACAGGTGCTTACACTCCGAATGGGCCACTACTCTGCAGTCCCGGCATTTCAAAGCCACCTTCCCGAAGCGGATCCTCTTCCCACACGCTACACACACTTCAGGTCGGATAACCTGAAAGAGGCAGGTGTGTGTATAAAGCCAAAACGTCACCCGTTAGTCCCACTGATGACCCTTACTGCTTACTGATTACGTTTTTGAAAAGTTATGGAGACAAAACGAAAGTGAGAGTCCATTCTTGAACTACACAAGTAATCTGTTCTACAAACCCTTATGCAAGTCAAATTATACGCAAGTCAGATTTACCCACCTCACACCATTTAACACACTTTACAGCACAAGACACATAAGTCAAAAATACTAGTAATATATACTACAGAACGCATTTCAAATAAAAGATGGTTAAATACTGTATTTTCACTGTAAATTTACTTAAATTCTGTACCTGCGCATTGCGTATGTCATCTTTTTGCATTATCACTTTTATAAATTCTACGTATCTCGTATATGTTTAAATCCAAATTTGTGTAAGGCAGTTTTACATAAGTCAAGAGCAGCCTGTATTGTAAAAACGGGCCTCACCGTTTTGGACAGAAAGACATGCTGTACGACTTTGCCCGCAGTGGGAGTAAAGCCCTGCTGCATATTGACGTCTTTCACATCGCAACCCACTTCAGCGATCTCGCTTTCAGCACTTGTCTCGTCGGTGGCAGCCCAAACAGACGTTTGCTCTGAGAGGCAGGAATGAAGTCCCTCTTTCAGCAGGTTAGAGTTCAGCTCGTTCAGGTGGAGGCGAAGGGACATTACCGGTCGCTTGGGGGAAGTGCTGTAGAGTCTTGGAGGCCTCAGCCTTGTCCTGGGTGATGTCTATCACCATGTGGATCTGAGCGCCGTTCTCAGGTGTGGTAACTGATGCCGTCACAGTGGTTTCGATCTCCTAAACACACACATACAGACAGCAATCAAACAACACTTCTGCTAATCTGCATGCTATTCAGGTGAATCCCCAATGAAGAACTGGACCACAGCTGAACCAAGCGGGGACTTGGAAGGACAAAGAATGTCAGAGGCAGAGACTGGGTGGGAGAGGGGGATTGAGGCAAACGCGGGGCCATGACATTTTTGGCAAGCGAAATGAGCTATGGAAAGGTGATGCTAGGTCATGGGTGTGGGACCGATAGATGAGTTCTCCAATGGGAGGTGACATCATGCTATTCCAGCCAATGTAGCTGAAGGTTTCAGCAGCAATGTGGCCAATTTGGGTGAGAGATTCCAAGGCTCCTGGTAGGTCTACTTTTATGACTTTATTCCAAATATTTAGTGCTCTGACAACATTTATCAAGATATGTTGATGTCACTTCCAAACTCTGCCATCCTGGATACTGTAACCATGCATGTTACATCACATGAATTTATGGAGTGTATATTTCACATACCCTCGCATAACAGAGCTCTCTGTAAGATGAAGACCTGCTTACCCTCTCAGTCATCCGTCCACCGAGCAGGTCTCCGGATCGTCCACTGCCTCGCCCACGTCTCTGGACAGGAGGGCCAAAGCTTGGGCCCATGGATGACCGCTGGGAAAACCACTAGCCAAGTCAACATCATTTAAGAACACATGACTGGCCAAGCAATTCAGCAGGGATCTGGATGCCATTATTTATACTTTCGAAATGGGTTAAGAGCCCCTGAAACCTGTACAATACCAGTCAAAAGACTAGCCTACTGAAAATCATTTATTTTTTAACCTTGTGGTATGCTTAAGGTTATGTAGTAAGTGTACAAGTATAGCCTTGTGAACAAGGAAAGAGATGGAGGGCTGCAACAGATGACCTGACATGACAGATGACCTGACATGACAGATGACCTGACATGACAGATGACCTGACATGACAGATGACCTGACATGACAGATGACCTGGCCCCCATAATCCCAAAACGCTATAGATCTGGTTTGGGATGAGTTGGATTGAAGAGTATAAGCAAGGTAGCCAACTTGGGCCCAGAACTTGTGGAAACTCCTTCAGGACCGTTGGAGAAGCATTCCAGGTGGCTAGATCTGGAAGCTTGTTGAAAGAACACCAAGGGTCTGCAGTGCGGTCATGAAAGCAAAAAGAAGCTATTCTGAAGAGTCAACAACTTGAGAAGATTTTGAGATTGCCTCAAGGCCTTTCATTTTAAGGTGAATAACATAGCTAAAATAAAGACAAATGCATTAAAAGTGTTTCCAGACATTTGACTAGTACTGTGGTTAATAAAAAAAACATTTTCCTACCCTTTTCTCCCGTGCTCTGGACTTGTGGGGTTTAATCACGGTTGTGTCCAGATCCTGTGTTAATGTAAGTTAGTGGAAACTGGTGAAGGTTACTGCATTTGATCTAACTTTAGAAAGATTAGCAAATGACAATTCCCTCCATCACAATCACCCCCGCTCATTAAATCTGTACACTGTCCAAAGAGTGGCAAGTGCAGTTATGTCGTATGAAATCATACCAGGTCATCGTCACTTCGGTCATAACTGACATCCGAGTGGAACAGGAAGGAAGATTCATCGATAACTGATAACCTGTGGCCAAACAACAGATGAACACGCCCCAAAAATTATTCTGACAACAGACGATATGACATAAATAAAAGAGAAAGCAGAGAACCCGTTACCGCTTAGTCTTCTGAAGAGGTAACTGTGCTCCCCGGTGATTGATGTTAGCTAGCACGGATCGCTGTTCGTCATTCAGACAAGCACTCGACTTGCTGTCGTTAACCAGTATCTCACAAATCAACTGCATCTGCCGCTCCTGTCAAAGACACACGGAGGTCAAAAGTCAGCCACCCATCCTGTTGATATAGGAACTCCATCAGAAAAGACTTTCACGATAGACTCATTTTCAGCTACACTAAAATGTTCCATTAGGTAATGTTTAATTATGCCAAACAATGTTACAAATTTGATCCATCTCTGATTATTTTAATAAATCACATGAGCAATGTCATAGCTGCTCCATGCTGGCGTTTGGAGTTTAGTTCATTCTACCAATCCATTATGTCATTATGGCTTACGGTAAACAACAAAATGTAGAAGATATTCCTTTTTCAAGAACTGAGAAAACATTTATTTTCATTGTGCAAACAGTGATTCTGATCTGACATTTCAGCTTATATTGCAACAAGTTTTCAAGTATGTCTCACCAAATACTGATAGTCTGCCTCAGCTTTGTAGCGCTTTTTGATTTCCACGTCCACCTGGTTCCTGGCGTGCTTCAGCTTCACCTCCAGCGAAGCACGGGCCACATCTGCCTTGACCAGCAGGTCTTTGTGCCTCTTGAGCTCCAGCTCAGCCTGTAGCCATTTCTTCCTAACGTCTTCATAGGTCACCACAATCTGAATAATCTCTGACACATACGGTTGACAATCTTGCTTGTGGAAGAACTTTGTCTGTCATCAATTTTTGTGACCACTCGACTGAACACATCAGAGGTCTGGCAATGTTGTTAAACTGTACCCCCCACATTTAGACAAAACAAGACATACAGCCGATCAAAAAATGATGGCATACTTCTCCAAAAAATAACATTACAAGCGTTCATAAATACAAAGAAAGGGGACTCTAAACATTTGCAGGTCAGTACATTTACAACATCCAAAAGCGATTTTGTATAAACTGAATAAGCCTCCACAATCGAATTGTAATTATGTTATTTTATTTGCGATTGACTAGTTATTATCCATGTTTTCCTACACGGAGAGCATCACAGGCCAGGCACACGTGGATCTTGCGGCGGCTTCTTTTCAGGAGCGTTAAAATGACACCGGATGATTAATCTCCCTAATCGCACTTACCGAGTTCATCGCCGGTTTTTTGAAGATACAGGCTCAACAGCTCTCTGTCGAGTTCCCCCATCGCGCTGCAGTAAGGGAGGCGTAAAAATCACACGTTGCCAGGACTTCACACTGAATAAATTCCATCTTATTCGATTAAGAATTTTTTTTTTTTAATGACCGATTGCACAACAACAACGTAAGTTAAGCGGCGATGTTATATAAAATTTGATTTAATGAAACGAAAACATGTTTCACCGGTGTTATTGGATGGCGTAATAATTCGATTTTAATACCTAGTATTATTAATGGCTTGTAAATAGAAATCGCACAAAAACAGAGCTATAAACGGGGCAAGGTTTTTGTAACCACTCATGCAAACTACTTAAAATCCTTCAGTTCACCCACCTCCAGCACTTAATGCGTACAAGTCTCACCAGAAGTTACTGAACGTCTCAAAGCATAAAGATGCGCATGTGTAGGTGAGTTAATCAATCGGCGTGTTTTCCGGTGCGCATGTAGACGATTAGAAGCGCGCTTACCCCGCATATAGCTCGTTACTTAACATATAGGCCTATTTTGGCCCATTGTGTGTTTCGATCACTCTTTTATACCAAGAAAAGTCCTTATGGTAAAATATGTAGGGTTTATACAACCCTATTTACTTTTCTGTGGCAATATTGCTTTGCATTAGGGGCATTCTGCGCCTGACTAAAAATTCTTAAAAGTTCAGATTTAGCTGAAAAATTATTAATCAGCGATTCCGTTTGTAGTTTTTCCCGCAACAGCCTTCTGCCAAGAAGTCGCCTTTAAGTAGCTGAAGACAAATAAATACAAAAAAAGACTTTAACGTATTTTATCTCTCCAGACAACACATTCGTAGTGTACATTATCCATTACATGGATTGTCTAGACAAATTTATACTCCCAAACAAAATAGGAGTTGTATGCGAGTATCCTGTTTTTATATAATTTTAGGACGTCATCTGAAATTCTCCAGCTGCCTCAACGTAGCTGCTGTCCACCTAACGAAACTGTCAGTTTAAGGTCAGGTGCATGCCATAATTAAAAGCTTTCGCAACGTGTGTATTACCTTCTCATGCTCAGATCCACTTAAAAACCGTTTATGCTTGACGGATAAGTGCAGTTTCAAGTACCCGTCTCTTCAAAGAAACATTGTATTGATAATTCCGAGGTGTCTTTTTGAGAGGTGACTGCCCGAGAATGCATATAATGACTTAGATTAAAAGCAATTACCTAAGTACATATTTTTCCGCCGTGATGCGACCAAAACATGCAAATAATGATTTTAATGACTGCTGAGAGTGCCCTTGAAAATTATGCATGATTGAAAGCGAAGAAGCTTTGGTGCTCAGAGTACTGTGCACGTCTCAGATTTCCGTGCATATACGCGTCGATGGGGACATATCCCCTGCTGACAGGGGAAGACCGATTGATCCTTTACCTTACACATCATCATTTTGTTTACTTGGTACACATAAGGCTGGAGTAAATAAGACGCGTGGCTTTGATTTGAAGCAGCTGCCTCGTGCTTGAATATGTGTTTATATTTATATACGACTCACCCACTCCTTTTTTGCAGTGTTTTTATGCCGGAAGTTGTAGTCAGTTAAGCAGCTCAAAGGGGCATGGATACGCGCAATCTTGCAAACTAAAGGGAATTTTAAATCTGATTTATCCAACTGGATCTAACCAGAGTGACTTGGAATATATAAACTGTATAGGCACAGATGCAGGGAGGGGCTTCACACCCCCGACTCCAGAAGTATGAGACAGCAGTGTGACCCACGGTATCTACTGTACATTCGCATGAGTCCTCATTTATTCATCCTACTTCATCACACTAAGCACATTGATATGTAATATACGCTTTTAACTTATAAAGAATCACAGAGTTTTCCTAACAAATTCTAGCAACACTATGTTATTAAATATTGTATAATATATATTTTATTATGCATAATCATTAAAACTTTTAAATGTTCCCGAATTTTATTTGTTTCCTTAAATATCGGCAATTTCCGTTATCCTTTGTAGCAAATTCTTCATGCCCACTAGAGGACACCCTAAGTATTCGCACACTGGCAATATAGCAGTCAGAACAAGGGGGGCGTGCAGTCCTGATTACGGCCATTTGAGCAAAGCCTTGTCTTGTTCGGTTGATTCACTATGGCTCAGAGAACTTTACGCCTCTTTATACCGGTATTAGTAGTGTCAGCTGGTGATTCACAATGTCGTAAATGCTACATTAAACAAACAAACAGTTAGTGTTAGTGATCCTACTGGTGCCCAAGTTAATTTTGCTTAGCTCTTACAACCGCAATATCGATAAACGCCCTTCAAGACAGACGTAGTTAACCTTTTTCTTATGCTAAATTCCCAAATTAAATACATATATGCAATAAAAATTAAGTCTTTTAATTTGATCAACCATCATTAAGGACGCAATTCTTGAGTAGGCATCCATCAGTAATCCTGGTACGCAATTACTAAGTTACTTAAGAAATCTAGATAAAATATGCCACCCTATTTTTTTTTCTTAACCCAAAGCAACAGGCGTATCGCATAAGAATGAGCACTTTAATGGACGCTGTACGGCCGGAGCCTACGCCAAAACCCAAACTGGAACACAATGCAATCAGAAGCAAGAGAGAGACCCAATGAATGTTCCGCAGTATATGTATGGTTGTGCGGTGCCCTCATTCCCGCTATTTCTGCCCGATGACTGCCCTATAATAAACCTGAATAACCCTAGTCCTCCAGCCGCTACAGTACATATCATATTGTTGTAATTAAGGAAATGTGAACTTGTAGTTAGTGTTAAGACACCGACACAACATACTGTATCCGTTTTATAACAGGAAAAAAATCTGCAATAAAGTCAATGTGTTACACGATAGAATCAGCAATCAGTGGAGAACAGTACTTGGTGTAGGAGAAATAAACCAGATTAAACAAGAATGTTTCCAGTTGATAATTTCTTGTTATAATTAATGTCATAAACAATGACAAATTACTTTATTTATAGTTTACTACATTATTAAGACATCAGATTCGAAAGGACTTGGCTTTTTCAATCATTCATCAAAGTAATACGTTTTTCATAAAGTATGTGGATTTTATCCTAAAAGTTCTCATTTTGGAGATTATTATGAATGGCATGCTGTTTATATGTATAGAGCATCCTAAACTCAACATTACACTAATTTTACTTAAGCAGGGGCATCTAAAATCACAACTTCGCTTAACTTGCCAGAGGTGTGGTGTTAGAGTACAATTTTGCACAAAATGCACATGTTTACCTAGGTTTTGGTTTGACTGGTGCTAAAACCAATCAAATGTGAGATTTTGTAGGCGGGCAGTTTTGCTTGGAAAAACAACGCTTTCATGTTGCTTGGTCAAAATACGCAAAGCAAGCAGAGTGGGTTGGTGTTTTCAAACAAAACAGGTTTGGGTGTAGGAGCCAGGTCCATGACCTTGATGACATTTAAAATAAAATACTGCACAGCATTTTAGCACATTTCCCCTTGAATAAATGCAGATATTAAGGTTAGGGGCATTTATAAAAAATATATAGAAATTTGCACCCTCCTTAATACATTGCTATTTCATAGCTTATGCATTTTCATCCAAAGCTGCAATTTCAATTACCTGTTGCATATTTTATCAGAGCATAAATCATTTCAGTCCACCACAGGACAGCAGGGTAATTCCAACAGCAGCAATTTCAGCAAGCAACTTCCAGCATTTCAGTCTGTGTCCTTAATCATTTTGCAGCCTGTTTCCTCATTTTCAGACAGATAGTCCAGCTTAAAACCATACAGGCTATACTTTTTAAAAACTGCATTTTAAATTAATTTGTTTTAATATGAAGAAAAAAACACACGGTCAACTGCTGGACCTGCCATGGGTTGGACATCCCTGCTTTTTATACATTTGTCTGTTTTAGCTATGTTACTCACTTAAAGTAAAAGGCTTCAAGGGAGTGAAGTAATACATATGGGATCTTGCAATGACCCCCCCCCCTTGTTCAACATCTCAAAATTTTCTCAGATTTTAAACTCTTCAAAAGACCATCCTTTTGCTTAGATTAGAGCAGATTCCTGGCATTCTTTCAACTAGCTTCCAGATGTAGTGACCCGGAATGATTCTCCAATAGTCCTGAAGGAGTTTCCATAACTTCTGGGCACAAGTTGGCTACCTTGCTTTTACTCTTTAATCCCACTCATCCCCAACCAGCTGTATAGGGTTCCGATTGGGCGATTGTGGGCGCCAGGTCATTTGTCACAGCCCTCCATCTCTTTCCTTGTTCACACAGTAATATCACTACATAACCTCGAGGTGTGTTTATGGTCGTTATCAGGTTGAAGAACTAATGATTATCAGTAAGCGTCCAGACATTTGACTGATGTATATACAGCACTGCTTAAGGTTTCACACTTTGTTTAAGGCAGCACTTACCAACTTGTGGGCCGTTACGGTATTGAAGGAGGGCCGTGAAATGCTGCAGTGCACCTTAAGGTCTGCAGGTCTATTAATGAGTGGCTTGAGAGCCAAAACCACCAGAAAATAGATTGATGGCTTTCAACAGGATCACTTAAACGAAGAAAAAAAAAAACAGATGAAACCAATGAAGAGCAAACAGAAACATTGAAACAAAAATGAAAGTTTAGAAGGAGAAAATGTCATGTTCTTGAGGATTAGGGGTAGAAGATCCCTGAAAATGTGAAAATTTGTGAATTACACTTGGGTCCCCTAACCACCCATCTCATGATTAGATGAGTGAGCATGTTTATAAAAAAAAAACAAAACAGTGCTTTTCACCACAGCATTGAAAATATGCAAAGAAAGTTGATATTTGTATTCTTATTTGATATGCTTGTTAATTGGCATTTGTGTATGTTACTAATATGTAATGAAACTGCAGTGTAAGTGTTTGTGTGGTTACATTTATTGTGGGTAACGACTACTTTTTCAGTTATAAAAACAGACCTTCAAGAAGTGCCCTTCCACCCATACAATGTAGCATGTCTTAAACTTTCCAAGTAAAAAAATATCACGTACACTATGTACTGTATATGGGATTTGTCCCAGTTTTCCTGATATTATTCCAAATCCAAGAACACAGTTTGAACTCTGTAGGACGTCATGGTATGTTTATAGGAAAGGGTCTAACTCGGGTTCGAGGAATGAGGGTATTGCATTCTAAGTGCTTTTCTTAAACCGTGCTGAGATGCAAATAGAAAATAATGCTCCTTTGGTAAGAAGATAATATGCTTTGAAGCTTGAAAATTAAATGTTTTGCAGGTTGAAAATCCCCCTTTTCTAAAGCAGTGAGTCTATTCGATGGAGAATGGACTAAAAGTATTTTAATGAATC